TACATCCTTTCAGCCCTATTGTAACAGTTTCTGAGACACTTCCCCCCTCTCCATTTTAGGCTAAGATATTCACAGTTAATTACAGACAAATCAAGTGATGAGTTTAAAATTGCCATGGAGCTGACAGCCAGACAAGAGCAGTGCAGCCTCATACATATTCACACCCCCTTCCTGTTGCTTCAGCTGGCTTGTGTGGCATTACAGTCACTTTGTTTCAAGAAATTATGCAAGCTCTCAAATCCCTTTTGCTTCTCATAAGCAAAGTGATGCAGTAGGCCAGGAAGCTTCACGTGTACCATTTGCAGGGCTGTGGCACATTCATCACGTGGCTGCTCTTTGCCTTGCTCCGGTTTGGTAACTGCAACCCTCCAGACTCCCTGTTAGCCATTTTGCTCTCCCTGGTTATGCCTGTGTCTTTTTCGTAATTCTGTTTTCCATCTGGAAGGAGGAGGAGTTTTGCATCTGTCGCCAGGCTGCATAATCTGGTGTTTGTGAAGTGTGTCTGTGTATCCCCAGTCAGCAGCACAATGTTGCTGCCCTGCAACACAGGATTTACACTGCTGAGAAAGTGGGGATTTCGGCAGTACTTGCACACTGCATCCAGATTTTGCTGAAACCTTGAGCATCCACTAGAAAAGCTGGAAGTGATAGAAACCGATCAAATGATCAGTATGCTCCCAAATCAGAGTCTAAATGCCCATATTTAAGGCTGCTGATTAAATACTCTTTACAAAAAGTTGGAGTGAAAGCTAGGTTAGCACTTTTAGTGACAAGAACAAGGAAAAAGGAAAAAAAAATCCCTATGATTTGCTACAGTATAAAACAATTTATAGTTTCTTGCTTATATAAGAAATTGGTCTGTATGCCATGGATTTCTGTGTTTGTGTGTAAACAAATGTCTGACTGAGATTTATGGTGTATAGCAATACTAAGTGAAGTCTGGAGGTAAAAGTTTCACCCACGGAAGATCAGAGTGTTTAGAAAAATCCCCCAACCTGCAGGACTTTCTGATTAGACTTTGTGTTTGCTTGTTTTTTGTTTGGTTTTGTGGGGTTTCTTTTGTTTGTTTGTTTCTTTGTTGGGTCATTTCACTCTCTTAGAATTACATGATTAAGCAGCTCATTAAGCATGGGTCTGTGCCACATGGACCCATATCATGCTACAGAGCTACGTGCAGGTTGCCTTTGAAACAGATTTAGCCGTGTATTACAAAAGAGGGACACCAAGCATAACTTGAACATTTCGAGTTTGTGCTGGCATAGTGACTGAACCATCAAGCTATTAAATCTCATCTGTCATCCAATTTATTTGTGGATGGAAGGATATTTTGTAAATGAAGAGCTATCATAAGCTAGTTACACTGCATACATCTGAGCATGAAGGGAAAAAATTAGCTTTCTGATTACAGAATAAAATAGCTGTTGGGACACGGACAAAGTACATATTTCGTTTGTTTCTCTCTCCTGTGTAGCTATCCCACTTGTATCTGAGCTGGCAGTGGAAATTTTGGAAAAAGGAGAAGTGAGATTCTGGTTGCAAGCTGAAAAACTGTCTGGCAATGCAAAGGCCAACTTTGTATTTAACGATAAGGAGATTTTTAATGGAGAGGTAAGCTTTTTCATTCCCTACAGTTGTCAGCCTTTTTCTGTGCAATGAGTATTAATGCTGCCGTCTTTAATGCACTTTCAACTAGTGTTCCATCCTAACGCATTTTCGTAAGAAATATTGTATGTCACTGGAAGCATCACTGGAAAGATTTTGTCTGTGGCTCTGAGCTACAGCCAAATTCTACTGCTTGCAGTTTACGAAGTGGAATTAAATGACTTTCCGTCATCTTCGGGAGTCCCACATTTTCTGTAAACAAGCAGGGAGCGTAGGAGTTCCTGTAATAAGGTGGTCCCAGATAGTAACTGCTGTGGCCTTTGAGGAGTTGCCTTCATCTACAGCCCTGGTGTACTTTTGTGCTTGGATCTCACATCTCTGTGCTGTTGGAGGAATTCATTTTATGAAGAGAAAGCTTGCAGGGGCAGAACTTTATAGCAGCAGAACTTGTTATTCCCAGAGACGTGCCGAGACATGCTTTTGTTTCTCTATCCATGTCTTTTTACTGGTCATGCTATGTAATTCTACACTGAAGTTTGTAAAAATAACATCATCTCAAAGACAGTATTGTTTTGAAGATAAGCAAATCTAAGCCTTTCTAGAGAAAAAGAGCATGATACTCAGCATGTGACAGGAAATGACACATACTTATAGCATTAGTAAACAGGCTTCCATCATTAACAGATTTCATATTTCCGTGGTCACATATTCAGACCTGGTGATAGAGCAAGAATCTTTAATAAAGAAAACAAAGAATTTCACCTAAAGATGGCATATAATGTTTGCAAAATTTCTAGTTTCTAGTTCTGATATTTATCAATTGTTGCTTTTCTTTCTGTTCCTGAAGAAATACAAAACGAAGGTGGACCAGAAGACAGGCCTTGTTGAAATGATTATGGATAAACTTGAGGAAAAGGATGAAGGGACTTACACTTTCCAGCTTCAAGATGGAAAAGCAACCAACCAGTCCAGCCTTGTCCTCATTGGTGATGGTAAGCTAATCTAGGCTTTTTGATTGTAGTAGGCTGGAAAAAAAAAAAAAAAAACCACTAAGGATGCCTCAGATGTCCTCTTCACTTTCCAGTGTTTTCTATGCTAATAAAAGTTCCAGGGGTTGGTCATGTTCCCACAGTGTGTGTGTGTGGAACTGCTATTTGTAAAGTATCTGAAGAAAGGGGAATTGTTTTAGAAATATAGAATATTGCAGCCTGTTATGGTTTTGCTTTTCTACAGCTGCAATTAAAATTTCCCAGAATATGAGCTGGTGCAAATGCCTGTTCTTGTCAGCTAGCAACATAGACCTGCACCTCTTAGGATTTCAGCTGCTTGCTGATGTTGCGGTCTTGCTTGTTTTTCCTTCCTGCTGCGAGTGAGAAGTAGCTGTATGATTGCAGATAACACTTGACATGACACATGTTAAACTGATGACTGTAAGCAGCTAGGATAGTTGAGCTGGCTGCTATCAAGTTCTGACACTTCGAAATGTTTGAAATTAACTTTCTGAATGAAAACTTGACCCTACAGCAGAACTCTCAAAGGGGAAGGGCTTTGCTTAACTGTTATAACAAGTCAGGGCTGTACAAATGACACATTTCATATAGCCTTAATTTTTCCCTGTTTTAATCCCCAGTGTTCAAGAAGCTGCAGGATGAAGCAAATTTCCAAAGAAAGGAGTGGCAAAGGAAACAAGGTGATGATACAAATATTTATAAGAATCACATATATGTTATTTTGTTAAGTATACTGGTATGTCTATTTATGTTAATTTGAAATAGGTGTTTTTATTCTGTCTATGTAGTTCCTTATCTTCTGAAGGAGAAATAGGAAAAAGTTGAACACATTAAAATATAAAAGTATTCTTGGCAAAAAAACACATTAGCCTTTGCTTTTGTATTGCGAATACTGCTGATTTTAAAGAAATATATCTGTAATTTTAAACAGGTCCTCATTTTGTGGAATACCTGGGATGGGAAGTTACTGATGATTGCAATGTGCTGTTGAAATGTAAGGTAAGAGCCACAGAAGGCATTAGAAGCACAATGTTCAAAGAAATACTTTGAACTGCCGCTGCTTAGATGGGGAGGGAGAGAACTAAAGACATACCTTTGCCTTTGCATTCACAGTTACATATTGAATAGTGACAGAGCCTCTGAAAACACAAAGGCTAATCATCGTGGTGTGATTGCAGATGATCTGAGACTTCGGGCTGGATATCTTTAAAGCAAAAAATATAGTTCAAAGATAGACAAAGAGGAGGACAGTGGGGAAATCAAAATGATTCAAACTCCAGCATATCTGATAATAATTGCCTGTAGAATCAGTAAGCTCTGTTTTCTTTGCAGAAATACAGTATCTCAACAAACAGCAATACACTGGTTATTTTGTATAGGATAGAAAGAGGGCAAAAGTGAAAGAAAAAGTTCTTCAGGGCAGGGGCTTTTTTGTTATTTGGGCAGTGCTACTGGTATTAGTTCAAGCTTCAGGTCTGTCAGACATCCATCCACTTTGCCACCCATCCATCCGTGTAGGAACCTGGATAGAAATAGGTTCTTTGTGAATTCTGGGGTATTCTGCTTTTCTTCCTGTTCGTGTGTGTAGAAATCCTTTGGGCAGGATTCAGCGGTAATCTGGAATCCTTGAAGCAGTTCACAGTTCTTTCTTCCCTCTTTTTGTTCTTTTAGTTTTTCTTCTCCCTCATTTTATTAGTAAGGCCTGAAACAACATCCTTATAACTCACAGCACTCAAGCTGTAAACTTGTTCTTTAGTATTTAAACAGTCTAATCTATGCAGTGCCAAGTTCATCTGATCAAATGGATAGAATAATTATGGTGTGGTCTTCACCCATTTTAGGTGGCTAATATTAAGAAGGAAACACACATTGTATGGTACAAAGACGACAGGGAGATAATGGTAGATGAAGAACATGACTTTAAGGATGGTGTATGTACCCTGCTGATATCAGAGGTAAGTGACTGTCTTTGCTAGCCCTAAACATCATTGTTAATGTTATGAATTCGGTTCAAAGATACGATCTAATCTGATATTTCAGCAGAACAATCAAAATAGGAAGTGAGCTTTAAAAGTGGAAAAGCTTACAAGATGCCTGTATTTTAGCTAAAGCAAATTTCTATCTTTAACTGTGCTAATTCAGGTTATCAGGAAATGATGACAAAAGAGATAATAATCTTGTCGCTTCCTTTCCAGATCAGTTTAACAACAAAATGCGACCACATTTGTGTTACATGAGTTGCATTAGGAAAGTGTTTGTCACTCGCAGACTTTACAAGGACCGGGCTCTGCAGCCAGCCTGGAAACTAATCCGAGAGGCTGTGGTTCATCCCCCAGCCTGGCTGCAGAGGCTGGGCATGACCCGCATTCCCCTCTAATCCCCCGCATCTCCATTCCTCCAGCTGCGAGAAGGTGCAGGGCATCGCAGGGCTGGCTGCCCCGGGGCCTGTGCGGGGCTGATGCTGGGTACCCATCCCCGGGGCATCGGGCACCCCTGCAGCATGGGCCAAGGCTGGGGGGGTGTCTGTGGCTCAGGGCAGTAGCTCAGCCCAGACCCAGCCGACAGCGGCTCCGCACGGAACTCAGTTCAGGGCCCTCCCAACTTTTTGTTGGAAAAAGTTGGTACCTTGTGAGAAAAAGAGGCTAAATTTCAGAGGCTAAATCTAACCTTTTAAATCCCCAGGAGAGAAAACACAGAGGTATCTACAATGAAAACCAGATTTCTACAGTAACTGTTCTGATTAGTAACTTTATTTGTGCTATATTTTATTTTAGTTTTCTAAGAAAGACGCTGGAATCTACGAGGTCATATTGAAGGATGACAGAGGGAAGGACTCCAGTGAACTGAAGCTCATGAATGCAGGTGATTCTGCATGTTGTAAGCCAGAGCAGTTTACAGGGTGAATGCTTGCCTGGAAATGAGTTTTTTTGGTAATATAGTCAAACGCACGTGTCATTTATGTGTGGTTTTATTCCTCCAGTGTATAAGATTGTCTCATTAGAAAACCGATTTTTTCCTGGGCAAATAACATTTGAATACAGATTACTGCATTTGGATTATGTGCAGTTTGGGGAGAATATTATGACTACAGCTAAGCAAAGTAACACTTTTCACCAGAGGAGAGACACATCAGTCGTAGATGTCTACAAGTATAAAAGGAAATTACAGAACCAGATAATTTTAAAAGCTTTCGCATTTTTATTATGTTTAGCCATTCTTTAGTTTAGGAGCATTGTCACTCATTGAACTCACTGTATGTTTAGAATTTCAATCCTACTTGTTCTGCCAAGCCAGTGGGGAAAAATTTGTATCCATTACAATGTACAAGGATGGGTTAACATTCCAAGTGAATATTGTAATTTACAGGAAAAAAAAAAAGAGAGAATATAGCTGTACTACAAAAAGAGAATGTTCAGCTGCAGCAGTAGTCATCAAGGCTGTGATTAAATAAAGTCCGGAAATCATGGAATAGCAGGCTATGTTTCTGCACTGCTGTGAAATCTAGTATGCTCCTCAAGATAACTATGATTTCTCTTTGGAACCTGCTAGGGAGAATATTTCGGAGCCGGTACTTGTGCCTTTACTGACTGTTTGAGCTGCAGGCACAGACTCTTACACTATGGGTTTTATTTCCACAGCTTTTGCGGATCTGATGAATGAAGTCTGCAGAAGGATCGGTAAGCGTTTAATTCTCTTTTCAGATGAATGAATCATTTTGGCACTCCATGAATGGCTGCCTAAAAACATATGCTCTTCTTTCAGCTTTATCTGCAACTGACCTGAAAATCCAGAGCACAGCTGAGGGCATTAGGCTGTACTCCTTTGTTAATTACTATGTGGAAGACCTGAGAGTAGGCTGGGTGCACAAGTAAGTATGTAAGGGCTTTGCAGAAGTCTCGGTGTTCCTTGATTTTATAAATCAAACAAAACTTGGATATGTGAGAGCTGTTGGGGGCCCAGTTTTCCCTTCATTTTCTCTCCTGTAAGTGCTATTAACTTGAGTGAATCACTCCAATATGAAACTGGAACAAGACCCGTAGGTTTCGGTGGGGCAGGGCCACCATGTCACCTCCATCATGAGTGACAGTCCCGTGCTGTGGGTTGTTGTTAGGCCCATGTTGCTTCCCCATCCCAGATAGAGGCTGCATCTTTCCCTGTATCCCTCTTGAGGAGCAATCACAAGTAAAAGCTGTGGAACTGACGGGCTTTGAAAACAAGACAGTATTTCTGGTTCTCAGATATCTGGCCTGGAAGTCTGCTTGTCTAGAAGCTGTAATTCACAGAAGCGGGGACAAATGGGCACCTCTTTGGTGCACAGGTTCATGTTTAAGAGACAAAGCAAGCTCCAGCATATGCCTGGGGCAGTAAAATCCAGACAACCCCTCCTGTGCGAGCTCACAACCCAACCATGATAGAAAATGGAGAATTTTTTACAAGAATTTGAATTCCCAGCTGCCCTTAAAATTAGCGGGAGTTGCATATCCAAATCCATTAGACAGTTTTGAATTCCGAACCAGGGTAGGCTTGCACTGGAAAACCTGGAGATGTAAATGATTTAGGTGAAATCCATTATTATTATTAGCTATTTCACTTCACTTCCTGTGGACATAGTAGTAGTTAGTTAGTTGTTAGGATGGAATCTGAATTACTGTTCTTTCAACTATACTCTAGGCAAACGAGGCAAAGAATACCCAGGATGTGTTGTTGCATCCTGGCTGCAATTACAGGAGCTGATGCTAACCAGCAAAGCCGTCCAAGAAATGAAAACAGTGTGAGGTTTTCCTGCTGCTTGGCATCCATTTCAACCTGGTATTGCCAGGAGTCCTAAGCACTTTCAAACTGGAAGTGAATATGAAGTAGTCTGAATTGCTTCTTTGTCTTCCTTTTCTGTCTCCTCCCCTCTCTCTCTCTTTTTTTTTTTTTTCTGTTTCATTTTTAGAAACTATTTTTATCTTGTAACACACTGAATTAATCTAGTAGAATTGTTCTTTGACCCTCTGGTACACTCAAAATGATCAGTTTAGGGATACATTTTTTGGTAAATATCTTTCTCCTCATCCAGAGCAGATAACTGCTTAGCTAGGAAGCTGGAAAACCTTTATTTATTTATTTGTCAAGGAATATCTTCTTTCACAGGCTGATGTCAAACTATGTTTATCAGTAAAGCCCAAGCATGGCAGGGCATCAAAAGATACTTTAACTGGGCAATCAATATTAGTAGCAAAAGTAGTTTTTCTGTAGGTACACCCATATACACATAGTCACGTTCTCCCTGAGCAGAAATAAACCTGTGCTAAGAAGAGAAAGTGAACATCTGAATATACATAGATTATCCTTCAGACATCTAGGTCTTAAATTTATATAACTCTTTTATGAATCAGACAGTGGACTGAGATGTGCTACCTTTCTGCAACCTTTGAGGAGAGCTAGAACTTGAAGGGAAAATTCTGTCCCATTAATTCTGCCGTTTTGATCTCAAGAATTGGGCTTCAAAATTTTCAAAATATGGTGTCATACCATGGCAGCTTGGAAATCACTTACTAACAGCAGATGTACTCACTGAGTCAACATGAACGAATTGTATTTATACTCCTGTAAAATGAAAGGATAACATTGTTTTATATTTTTCAGCGATACCCAGATTAGATTTACAGACAGGGTGAAGACTGGTGTCACTGGGGAGCAGATCTGGTTGCAGATCAATGAGCCAACTCCACAGGACAAAGGCAAATATACCATGGAGCTCTTTGACGGCAAAACAGGACACAAAAAGACAGTGGATCTTTCTGGACAAGGTAGGCCACTCAGTCTGTTAAAATCATTTGTATGTGAACATTGCACTGTGGCAGGATAGGAGCATCTATAGCAGGATCTTGCTGCACCCCTGTTACCTGTTGGGTTGTAGGGTCTCTTTGCACACCTTGCAGTTGAGCAGCCTGGCAGTGTTTGTGGGGGAAAAGCATAGATCGTTTGCCCCAACATCTGCTCTCAGGTCATAATTTACCTACCAAGTATCACCTTGCAGTGCTGGCCAGTGAGATGCCAGCTCAGTTTCTGGGATATCTTACAAAAATCCTTGTATTTCTGACATTGACTGGCAATTTTAAATGCAAGTGTCAGAAGAAGTCACTGGATGACCTCTGTATCTCACCCTTCCAAGTAGCATTTGGAGGAGGAAGTGAAGGGCAAATTTGTTCTGTTGCTTTCCCCTGACACCGTGCTTCTTGATGGATATAATAAGGCTTCTTATTCTTCAGAGATGTCAAGACTGGTCCCTTTCATCAATATAATGAAGCAATGTTAGGGGAACAGCTAAAATTATTCAGAGTGATTTTTTGGAAGCTTTTCCTCTGAGAGAGCTCCCAGATCCTAGGGAACAGATGAGCTGCTTCTGAACTGCTGACTTTCCACAGCAGTTGCAATCCCGAAAGCTTCGCACTGGGTCTGCAAGCTCTATGTGGGGATTATAAAGCAAGAGGATTGCTTTATAATCAGCTCCATACTGCTCCTTCTGTACGCTTCCCCTGGTTTTTGAGAAAAGATATTCCTTCTTCCCTTTTGAAGGCGGGGGTTGGCAGTTTAGACAGAATTTATGAAAGTCAGAACAGTTGGCAATACCAAATGGGTTTGCTTATGGCCCGCCATCAGTGTGAGGCTTCGGAGCAGATGTGAAAAATACTCGGATAAAATAAATCTCTTGTATCCTGGAATATGTATCAATGTGGTACATTGTGTTTTTTTCCAAGTTTTGTGGGAAACTTTCATCCTACCCGTCTCCTATCTTTTTGTGTTACAGCCTGACTTTTAGAAGAAAAAAAATGTGTTTATGTGTATGTATGTTTATAGCTCTCATGTACAATACTGCCTTTATTAGTTAAGTTGTTCAGCATTTTAAAGCTTATACTGTATCAATACACTAATGTTTCTTTAATGTGTCTACATTTTAAGTTTGTCTACATTTTAAATTTAAGCTTGTAATGACTCTTCTGTGAACCTACCTTTAAAATTAACTTTTCTCTTTACACAGCATTTGACGAAGCCTTTGCTGAATTCCAGAGATTAAAGTAAGTATTGTGCCATCTATACACAGAAATGACATCCATAATATAAAAAATATATGTTTGTTTTCTGTTAGAGCTAAAAATATGCTGTCAAACAAATACTAGTCCTGCAGAAGCCTTTAGTTTTGCATTTAAATTATTTGATATAACACTTATATAACACTTTGGTAATAAAGGAAAAACAGTATTGTCAATAGATGAGATTTTCTTTAATTGATTAAAAGCAGTTAAAAAGATTTTTTTTCAGTCACTCTAAGTAAACCTCTAATGAAACCTCTTCTTGTTTCTCTCAACTCCAGGCAAGCTGCAATTGCAGAAAAAAGTAAGTGAGCATTCTTTGACAACAGTTATAGTAAATTGTGTATAAAGGTTTTCTTCATGTCCTGAAGATTGCATTTTGGGAGAGAGAGAGCATGTATACATGAGTGTATGCACGTGCACATCCTCAGCCTAGTTTGTTTTTACACCAAGGAGAAGCAAGGAGAGTAACCTTTCAATGACCCTAATTATGGGCTATGTTGATTTTTTGTAGTGTGAGCTCCTGCTCGCATTACCAGTTAGCGTCTCTAAAGGTTATAATTATTGCTGAGATGTCTCATGCATAAACTCTGCACAAAAGGTGACACAAAAGCCACCTTGTTTTGAAAGCTGGAGGAAGTTGCTCAGTTAGTTCTGAACCATCTAAAGTGGTAAATGTCTGCACCATATACTGAAGTGCTGTGGATAAGAAACCTGCAGCAGCTTTTGTATGACTGAAAACAGATATTCAGATCTCTCAGACCTGCATTTAGAAGATCTATCCAAATGTCCATTAATTAATAATTTAATCATTAGAAACCACATTGAATTATTAAGCTCTATCTTCCTATTTGCACAAAAAATGCATGGAAAAAGTAAGACCTCAAAAATTCCCTCACTGCAGATTTCTTTCAGACCTCTGTAGAAGTGGGGAGAGATTGAGTGGAGATCTGAGTGAATTCCTCGCTGGACATGCACTCCAGTAGACGGGTGTTGGGAGTGTGGAAGAATCCCTGCTAGTCCTAGCCGAGACAACATGCGGGGATCAGTGTCCCTACCCTAAGCCACTCATCTCTGACACTGGACCGCTCATACGGGCTAGCGTGTTACCTGATGTAATATAGCTTTGTTTCTGCTTTCAGCGGGTTAGTCGCTCCAGACCACATATTTTACAGAAAAACGAATTAGCAGCAGTGATGGAGAACTCTGTGCACTCATTTCCTTCCTCTGCCAAGCTTCAAGACTTGAAACTAATAAAATCCAATGAGTGCATCCAAGGTTGCATGTACTCAGCTTACTTTTTTTTTTCTGTAAGATTGCTACAGGACTTTGAAATTAAATCTGGATTTTGATCTCATTTACACCCAAATACATCCAAACAAAGTGGTTGAATTTCACTGCTGTCACCAACATTGGAATCTGTCCTTGCATTTAGATCAAAGCCTTATTTCCACTGTTGCTCATTTCTTTACATAAGCACAGAGTTTTTAGGTTATGACATGGAAAATTTGGAACATCAGATCCTCAGAATTCAGGTATTTTTGCACATTCAGAAATAATACTGAGTTCACTGGCAGCAAAATCTGCAGGACACAGACAAGTATTTTAATTTCCTTTAATAAGTGACTGACAGTCAGATATTAACATTTTTTTTCCTGTGAGTTTAATGTTATTGTAAGTCCAAATGGTGTGCTAAGAATGTTGAATAATTCTGTCCATGCACATATACTTAGAGAGAAGTTGAACATAAATAGGATGAGAACGAGGGAGGAAACAAAATCTGGGACAGAGTTGATTTTGAAACATTAAAGAAAATTATGCTCATGTATTTTCAGATCGTGCACGGGTACTTGGAGGGTTGCCCGATGTCGTCACCATCCAGGAAGGCAAGGTACAGTGAATTAAGTGAATTTTATACAACAACCAAACAGCTTGAATTCCTTTCAATAATGGGAAATTTTCACCTTCTTTTAAAGGTTCCATCTTTGAAATCTGCTACATTATTTATTCATTCCCTATCTTCTCTATATAGTGCAACAATCTTGGACAGATGGTTTTATGTTTTGGGGGCCGTTTCCTTTCTTATTCATTAGATAAAAGTGAGATGACAATGCGAGTTGAGACAAAAACACCTTATGTAACCACATCTTTAAAAATTCATGCTCAGGTTTCACAGATAGATTTTGGCATCAAGGTATCAGGGAAGGTTTTTTTCTTTCTTTTAGAGGATAGCTAGACATTCTGCAGCTTATGCAGTTAACTTTCTGAAGACCTGGCAGGACAGTCAGACCTGGAAAGGTTGGGTTTTCAATGGTGTAGAACATACAACCCATTCTAATTCAATTCTCTTCTAGGCAAAAGGAGAAACTTTTCTCTGTTTCATCAGGGTAAACAGGAAGGAAATAAAAAGAAATCACTGATATGATGACATTAAATTACATTAGTCAGTAGATTTTATCCGTAAGATTACCAAAAGGTGCTATCAGATGAATGTGGCAACATTGGTGCTTGGGCACAGATGACCCAGGAAGCCCTTCCTAATCGTGTGGTGACCATTTCCCAGCACTCTATTTCTATAAGTACTGACAGCAGCAGCAGCAGTACCTGCCTGTGGTCAGCTGCTTGCCACTTCCTGCTTAAAATGTGCGTGAGTGTTGAAATAAGGTGTGTGAATGGCACTGAAACACTGTGACGTGACCACAGCAGCAAGGCAGCTTCCTCATACCTCCGTCTTTAGCTGGCTCTAGGTCAGCTGGATCAAAACCATTTGATTATAAGCTGAACAGAAGTATTAAGAACCTAAAATCTTAGCCTGAATTGCCTCGCAGCCCAAGATCTAGCTTTGCTGACAGATAGTGGACTGCAGCAGTTTGGGGAAAATTAAGTATCTTGGCATTATATATATATAAAATAAAATGATAAGACCATTCATTAAGAGTTTATTTATAGGAATGCTGTAAAAATAGTAAGTTCTCATATATATATATTGTAACCGCAGAACTGTGAGTAGAAGAAACAAAGAAACTGGATGACTTTGCAGATTTTCTGCTAAAACTGCTTTTGCTTGAAGATAAGATTCTCATACTGCTTTGGCAGGGGATAAAATTTGGGTGGTTATTATCAGTTTTAAGCTTTCTGCCAAAGCAGTGTTGAAATGAAGTTGTATGGAAGAGTATGAGCTCATTAAATCAAAATGTGGAGAGTTTATGGAAAGAGAGATTGTAAAAAACGAGTTGCAAAATTTTACACAGACACACATTGTCCATGATAGCAAGAACACTTGTGATGTTTGAATAAGCTACTGAAAAACTCCCAGAACTCAACACTAATATCCTTGACCTTATGTTTCTGGATTCAGTAGCTGATGTTTTTGAGAATGAGGATAGGACACAGAGTGACCAGGAAAAACAGTGCTCGGCTGGGTGCTGTTGGCTCATCTGTTTGCATAAACGCTGGACAGAGGTGAACGCAGTTCCCTCTATCTGTTGGAGGTGAATGCAGTTCACTCTATCTGTTGTGCAATTCATCCAAATTGCACAGTCATCAAGGTTTCTGGAAAAAAAAAAGAAGAGTAAATGAGGTAGTAGAGGACTTGCAAGATGTTGCAAGCTTTGATTGCAAATCCAAGTGTGGCCTGTAGAGCTATAGGAATAGGTTGGTATTCCTGGAATATCCTTTGAATTTCAAGCATATGAATGCCTCGAACTTAAACTTAACACTACGACTGTGAAGCTATTTCCTGGCTTTTTGCCTGCAAGCTGAAGGGTATGCGTGAGAACACATGAACCAGTGTTATTCCAGGCTAAGTGTAAATTCATATTAGGGAGGAATTTGAACTGACAGCAGGTACTAGTAGAAGTTTCGTGTACAGCTGGCCAAGTCAACCTGAGTGGCTGTTTTAACGATGTAAGACCTATAACTGCATAAGCGGAGGGCGTTATTTTTAAAGGAGACTTGGGATGCTGACAGATGAGCACTCGCAGACCCAAGAGCAACGTTGCATCCTTCTGTGCATCCTTCATTCCACTCTTCTACCCTCACAGGCAGCCTGGGAGAAGGGAGCTTTAGCTGCTTTACTATGCTGGCACCTTAGCCCAAATTGCCCATGAGTATGGGCTTGTGCTAACGTGCTAGAGGAACAGAAAGTCTTGAACTGACATGGTCCTCTCTGACACTTATACTATTGTTGTGATAATCTGCAGCGCAAGGCAGAGAAGGTAGTGGCAGAAAGGCCTGGACATGCAGCAGCAGGTTGCTCCAAATGCATCTACATCAGTGCCACAGGTCCATTTTTTTGTGACTTTGTGTGTGTGTGTGGTTCAAAAGGTGCTCAGTTTTTTTGAGGTAGAACAGATACTGAGGTAGAACAGATACTTCTACTTACCACAACATCAGACAGATTTCAAGTCTTTTTTTTTTCCTCCCTGAGAATCTTCAAAACCAGACAACTACTAGAAATGGGAAATTTTCTTGAGAAGCAAAATTGCCTTTTTCCACACAGGAAGAGCAGAACACAATAGTTTGTGCTCTTCACTGAGATAAGGACTACAGGATGAACACAGTATTATAATCGGTAGATTTTTGTAATAAAGATACAAAAACATCAGTGAACAGTCTCCTGTCCACAGAACAAATAAATCTAAGCCAAAAAGGAGCAGTCACAATGGCAATCATTTCTCCTTGGCTAAGGCTCCACGATTTTTGAATCACCTTCCAGAAAAATACTAATATGAATAAAGATCTCACCATCTGCATAGTGAACACTAATATAACATCTCTGCACATTAGTAACCAGAAAATAAGTAATAAGAGCTGGGAATATCAAAAAAGGAGCACTGATGTCAAACAGGAGCTAGCAATGCAAGGTTAAGGAAACCCTGCTTAACCCTGCCCCCAAACACAACTATTTCAAGAAAAGTTTTAGAAGAAAAAAAGGGTTATCGCTGCACCTATATCTCTTCGAATTAGGGAAAACTGACAGCAGATCAGACCACTTTCAATGATGCCACTAAATTGCACAAACTAAGTTGCCTAAGTGGACATCATGGACATCAGCTCATCAAAGCCTTTAAGCGGCAAACAGGACAACTGTATGACCTGTTGCTTGTTCGAGGATCAGGAAAAATAAGGAAATACTGAGTACTGGAAGGGACCCAGAAGTGATGTCTGGTTGAGGCTGAGGCTGAAGATAGGTTTGTGTGGAGAGTGTTAAGGGAGAGGGGGAAATGCAAAACCTCTTGTGTTCCCCATGCTGTTCAAAAAGATGGACTGATACAACAAGCAAGACCACATCCCCACCGCGGGCTAGGAGACAAGGGCTTTAAAAGCCCCACACAGTCACCAACTGCAGCTGCTGCAGGAAATCAGATAGGGGCTGTTTCCAACAGGCGTCAACCACCTCATACCCAGAACATGTCTTTGGTGCCAAGATATACGTGTTGCTGATGGAGCAAAGACTTCCTCCTCCCTTTTGTTCTTATTTTGATCCTTAGGAGTTGTGGGGTTGAGTTGATTTTGATTTCTTGAGAGAGATAGAAAAACATTTTGTATTGCTTTTTATTTTCTTTATAGAGGTATCTATTTTCTATCTATACATTTCTATAGGTTGATGGATGTATCTCTTCTGTCCCATATCACATGTAAATAATACAAAGTAAAGCAGTAGAAGCAATGTAACCTGTGAAACAGCTTTCCCACAGTTCATTTTTATCATGAGTACATAAAGTGCTAACAATGTTAGGCCTTTTCAGTTTTCTATTTTGGGCATATTTTTATCAAGATCCTTTAAGAAAATAAAAAAGAAACTTGATTCCAGTTTATCCAGTTCCCTGTAGGAAAAAGTTATATTCTACTTTGAATCTCTCTTTTAAGTTCACACCAATGTACCCTTTAATATTGAGACATAATTAATTCCTCCCTAAAGAAAGGTCCACAGCAAGGTCTACGTAGCATGGAATTAAACTTCTTCACTGTTGACTCTCTGTGTGATGTTCACTATTCCAAGCACTTTCAGGAGGATTCCTGCAGCTCTGTGATGAGAGGAGGGGACAGCAGTTGCAGCCAGCGAGGAGTTGCAGACTGCAAACAAGCCTCAAGGCCCCTTAAGTCTCTTGGGAGAGAGAGCAGTTAAACAGGATTACAGTATTATGATACACTAATCTTCAGACCCCCAGGTCTTGGTTTAGTCGGTCTGGGGTAATTACCCATTCACAAGGGATTTTCTTCTTTCTTAAAAGAACAGCATTTTCTCCAGTGTGACAGCCTTAATGTTGTGTCTGCACCCTCATTTCATTTTGGATGTGGTACTTTCACTACTGTTTAAGAATCGAGTTGATTTTTGATGTTGAAGTCTGCAGCATTCCATGAGTCTAAATGCAGAAGTATCGCCCAAACGTTAATTTCTTGACTGACAACGACAGAGAAAAGAGAAAAATAACGGAGCACCGTGTGCACGACAGACTTGCTACCCTGCAGAAGCTGTTCCTCCAACAGCAGACTTTGTGACAGGATGGAGGCTTCCTTCAGCCAGTTAAGACTGGGCTCAGCACTTAGGGATCTTGCCAATCACAGAGGGAAATACTTGTACAAACACCAAATAAGTCGTAAATTCTGTATAAACTTTAGCTAAAAACAGTTTTATAGGGCTGTGTAAAACCACTCAAGTATGTGAGAAGAGATGTTGGGGCATAGATTAGAATGATGCTAAACTAAACAAATTATCCCAGGGACACTTTGTTCCTATTAAAACAGTTACTATTAAAATAAACAAATAAATAAAATAAAGGTACTGCTGTGGCAAACGTGAGTTTAAGTTGAAAAAATCCACCTGATGGATTTTCAAATTCTTATTTCAGGTCTAACACAAATGCAAATGGTATCCAATTTTGTACTAAACAGTACGTAGGAAGGCCTGCTAATGATCCTGAGAGCAGAGAATTGAGTCCATAAAATATTTAAAAATTTTAATGGAGCTTTTGAATTAATTGAGTTCCTTTCTCAATCTATCCTCTCCTTTAGGATAGATAAGACTATGACAAAAAACACTGATCACTGATGATGATGTGGGTCCATTTACTAATAGGAGGAAGATGAATGAGGATCTGTATGGAACGTTTGTAGAGTTATGCCTCAAAACATACAGTAAATATTAGCACTTACATATAATGCTTTTGTACTTTTTCTATAGGCGCTTAATCTTTCTTGTACTGTCTGGGGAGATCCTACCCCGGAGGTCTCATGGCTGAAGAATGAGAAGTCATTTGTATCAGATGCTAATTGCGTCCTGAAATATGAATCTGGAAAAAACGTCAGCTTCAGCATCTCTGCTGTGTCCACACACGACTCTGGGAAATACAGCGTTGTGGTGAAGAACAAGTACGGCACCGAGACCAGCGATGTCACTGTAAGTGTGTACATACCCGAGGAGGAGGCAGAACCCGAGCAAGAGAAAAACAAAGAAGATAAGAAAAAGAAAGCGTGAATTTAACAGTAGGAAACAGAGGTGTGGGGGAGACTTTGGAGGAGGCACTGACGTAATCTTTGTGTGTAAATTGCCTTCTGCTTTAGCATGTAGCCTTGGGTTTTTCCATTCACTTCATTTCTAGTTTTCTGGTACACTTTATTTGTGCCAGGGAAAACAGTGCCTAGCCTGCATATTTACTAACCGCTAACTAGCTGAGCCATCCTCAGCCAGGCCAAACGCACGCTGGCCCGAGGCACAAGTTCACAATTTGACCTTTTTCCTGGGGTATTCGACCATACAACACAAGTGAAAAGGGCAAAAAGCATTTCGGCAGAGGCCACTTAATGAAGTAGATGGAAACGTAAAGAATGATCAAGGCATTTTTGAGCAGCAGTTTAGATTTGTTCCAACTTTGGTAGAGTAGATGGAATGTGTTAGAAAATCACACAATAGAGAAATTAGTACTGTTTTTTTTTGTCTACATTAAGGCCTCTTTGTATTGCTGTGTTAACTTAGGGAGGCCTTAATATGGGTGTAATTTACATCCATAAATATTGTTTATTCTGCCCAATTGGGGTAAAAGTACTGTAATATAAGTAAAAATCAGAGTCGGGAGGCCAGAATACTAACATGTGAGTGTGTCAGCACAAATGTATGAACTGTGCTCTATGTTCACAAATAAATGGATTTCTCTTCTTTCGTTCTATCACAAGCTTGTTTCACTGTGTCTCATTTCACTAGTCGCGGTTCCCATAGTTGTTCACAGTTGTTCATAATACCTTAACCCTTCCACTGCTGTAATTACCTCTAGCTTTCCTTTAGGTCTGTGCTAATCTTCACGGTACTTTTCACTGCAAAGCCCACAGTGACACCACTCCACACACTTCTGTCCAGACCCTCACTACTTTTTATCTCAGCTCAAAAGGGTTGGTTTTTTTTTTTTTTTTTTTTTTGGAAAATTCAGGCTCAGGTTTTGTCTCATGGGATTCAGTGGGCCTGCTCATGAAATTCAGTTTAAGGACGTTAAAAAAGTACTTTGTTAGACTGAGACTTCAGTTAGTTAACTTCATCCAAAGCTAGCACTGGATATCAGAAATTTCATATTTCTTAGAAAACTTTTCAAGCTACAGAAAGAATCTTCACTGGAACCTAGAAAAGAAAGAGTTTTTTTTTTTTTCCAGACAAAAATGTTTGAGAACAAGTAGTCCAGATCTTTGAACTCTGATTTTTCTTCTCACTTACATAGATAAAAACTCCATGTCAGCAATTTCGCAACAGTGCCACTAATTATTCCTAGCTCAGAACACAGTCCATCCTGCTGGATCTTAAGCAGTTATGAACCTTATGAACCCTATTGCTGTTTAAGGGAATCATGTGCCAGGGAAACATTGATTTCTTTTCAGAACTGCTCTCGCTGAATCGCAATTCTTCACATCAACATCTGAAGAATTTATATCTATTCCATGTTTGATGTAAGCATGATCTGTGTGCACCTTCCACATACTTTCTCTTGTCATTTTTAACTATTGTGATGGCACAAATCCTG